AATAAATGTTCACTTTATAAATAAGGCAACAAGGTCAAGAAAATGCCTGTTGACAGTAAGGGTAATGCGACATCCTTTCAAGATGTTTGACAGAGCTTTAATTTCAGGACACCTACAGCAAAACAACTGAAGTGTCCAAGAGCTGAGGTTCCTTTTAGGTTACATAGCCTATTGCTAAGGTAAGTTCTCCTGTTCCTCTTTATATAAGTAAATGGGAAGACATGAAATCTCCTGTTACTAACATTAACATAGTACGCGTTCCAATTCACGACAGCAGCAATGCATAACTCCACTTAAAAAAAACAGATCTGCACAGTAGTTTGTCTGTCACAAGAGGAACAGTGAATGGACCAAAATATGCAAAGGACAGGGACTGTGTATTTCTCAAACACAGTGTATGTCATGCTGGTAAAAATAAGACGCTAGTGAAAATTCAGTTTTCTTAAAATTATAACAGCCTGACTTTAATGTCACATGGAGTACCTGTATCTCTTAGTACTGTGGTATCATAAGAGTAGCTGCCTGCAGCCATTAGTCATGAAGTTTAGGATTACTTCCAGGTATCCACTGCAGACAAAGTTCTAACTCTGCTTTAAAAAAGGTCAGGGTTAAAAGGGAACTTTTTTCTTTTCAGCCAGTAGGCTTTTGGGTATGAAATACAAACATTTTTGCAGCCACTAAAGGGAATAATGAAAACCAGCAAGACAAGTATGATTTTCACAACTGAACTATAAGTGCTTTCATTTTTTTTAAAGAAGGCTGCTTAGAGTAATCAAAAGCCATTTTAAACCGAAAGAGAAAAATAATTTTAAGTATGAAATTACAAAATATTGCTTCCTATAACAAATGATAAAAGTATAACTAACTTGGTTCAGCACAGCTAAATATTATTTTAAAAAAAGCATGAAAATGTCTACTTTAAAAAGGTGTCAGATTACACTGACCTTCTAAAAAGGTGCTGCAGTATGTCTTCCTAAATGTACCATGTTGGAAACAAACACATTCTTGAATATGTACTGAATTCAACTCCTGTTTCTTATTGTGCTATGGTCACTTGTTTTTCATAATGACATACACTTCTTGAAACTAAGAAGAAAAAAAAGTCTTAGTTGCATGTTACTGAATTTCAGCTACTGTAGTGCAACTAGGAATTCTGCTCTTTCTGGAATATCACACTGCCACACAGCAAGCTGCTCTGCAAGGAGCTATTTAGTTGGATTTTCAAGCAGATGATATATTCAGTGCAGTGAAGGGATGTTCTATAGCTGGTTTGATGTCTTGGCCGAATCCCAAAGTCACTCTAACAGCAAGTGTTCGCCCAACTCAAAATGCCCCCCTCACTTAACTGGCCACACATTACTAACGCAAATATAAAAAGTGCTTAAGAATTGGGCATTCTTGGTTATATAAAATGCACATCTAAACAACTTAGCTCTCTGCCAAAACCAGAATGTTTTGAACAAATTAAATAAAAAAGTGACCCAAAAATTAACATTTTGGGCCATTTTTTCCATATACTGAATCATTTGCTAAAGAAAGCCTCCTGGGGAATTGATGATCATAACTGCTGGCTCTGAATTTTCAGAAATGAAGAGGAAAAGTAATCTTCAACTGGTGTTTCTTTCCTCACGTCAGTGGCTGTGAATCACCTGTTTGGGGGGAAAAACAAAAGGAACATCTGAAAAGGTAAACAGCTGTACAAATACTCTCTACATATTAAGCAATTCCAACATGCAATACTGAGCAGCGTTTTCAAAAGCCTTGATTCCCTTTGCTCCCAGGGAAATGACACTCTGGAGCCAGGACACACTTGAGTATGACCAGGTCTTTTTTTGCCTTCTAGTATTATTGGCAGTGAACACAGAATAGAGTTTGAAGAGGCCCAAAATACTGGATTAGAAGACTACGGAAGGCAGAAGTTCACTGCTTATCCATTACTTTGTCCATCACTCCAAGGAACCCAGGTTTCGCATTACTTAAAGTACTCTTGATGTACTATAGTGATTTATGTGTACCACTATCTGTGTACACACACACAGAGATACTGGTTTGGGATACTTTTGATAACCAGTAATCTTCTGATTTTTCATACAGAAGCTACTGCATCTTTATACTGCTTGTTCAGCTGTACTTACAATACACAGAATGCCTCAACATTTTTGTACGTAGTTTAGAATGTCTGTAAGGAAGGAACTGCTCTTAAAAAAAGTTAGTCATAACTTTATGTAGAAGTGAACTCAAAAAGCGGGTAATATAAGATGTTACTAGATATCCTGCAGGAATTAGTTACTATTGGTTTGTCTTCTAATGTCAATAATTAATGAAACCAGTTCAGTGGACATTGTTAATACTCCTTGCACATCCATTAAGATAGTTTTTGGCACTTGATAAACATAAATCATTATATCAGATTTAGCCTTCACTCCTAATGCAAATAATTGCATTACGTTTAGCCTATAAGGATGTACATGTATTAAGCATAGTTCATAATATATGTGCCAATACACATCGTATACTGTTTTCAACCTAAAATATCTATGCAACTGAGGTTTTTTTATGTGCAGAGCTTACAGTTAAAAATCAGTAGGTCAATCTTAAAGCATTAAATGGATAACCTCATAGTAAAAAATACTATTCTGCAATTTCTACAACAGACTTGCATTAGGTTTTACTCTTGTGTAATAAATTCTGGGTTCCTGTATGTTCAAGCAAGCACACTCATCTATGTGAAAAGTATTTAGTCAGCTGAATTTCATGAGGGCTTTGTCTCAGTCTCTGTTCTCCCAGATTATTCCATGTGCTTCCATAGGGGCTCATTTTTCCTTTCTGAGCTGTTAGCTATTTTGTACAACTGTTTTTCAATCAAATCTCTACTATCTGCTAAACAGTCTCATCTCATGAAAACAAGATTGTTTTCATAATAGAATATGACATTGGTAAGAGAAAGCAGGTCCAAGATGTGTGAAAAACTCCAAGAAGCACACACTCAGATCTCTGACACTGCATCCCACTCTAGGTCCAAGTGATTTCATGGGACCTCAGCATCTGACAGGAACGTCTCCTTAAAAGGGGAAGGTGCCACAACTGTAAACTGGTAAAAAGGAGACAACCACCAGCGCACTAGAGGTACTGCATGGCAGTGACTTTCAACCTGCACTCTGAACTGCTTCTGTGGGGCTGCAAAAGATAGCAGAGGAAAAAATGTATTTATATTGTATGGCAATGTACACATAAGACTTCTAAGAGGATACACTTCCAATGGAAAATGTTAGAAGGCCCACCAACTAGACTAAAAAAAATTCAAAGTCACTCTTGGAAAATTCCTTTTTTTTTTTTTTTTCTTTTTTTAAAGAAAGACCCATGTTATTAAAGAGTATTCTTGCTAAAAAATGCAAACAAGATCCCAAAGAATGGGATAATACTAAAATCATAAAGTCAGATCGCGGATTCAAATTTTCTCAGTTATCTAGGAAACGAAAAGAGAATAACTGCACTGAGAAACCCAAGTCAATTCCAAGCTATGTCTTTTCTTACAGCTGTCACTTGATTTCTGAAGGGTTGTGGTAGTGGGATTTTTGAGTATGCAAGTATAGAAAAAAGCTATATCCAAGCAAAATTATTTTCACTTTGAGTTTCAGGAAAACTTAAGTACACCTCCACTTCTGGATTTTCAACTCCAAAACTAGCAGTACATTTGGTATGGAAGTAGCATGCCGTAATTAAACAGTATTAAATCATTACTGTGGCCAACAGCTAGTTCATGAGGAAATAAAGGCAACATTTATTTTCCTTTTAAAAAATTTTAAATATTATTTGAAAATAGCATATCCATGGAACAGTTTGAGACATAGTATTTATGATCACAACATTCAGCAGATGATGTACTAAGTCACCATCACTTTTTAAACAGCTTTAGCACTTTATCAATAGTCACTCTCCAGCTATAGTAATAACTAACCAGGGCAGAAATGCCTGATTGTATCCAAAAAGGTTATCTTTTTCCTACTGCTAGCTGTGTTGCAAGGCTGATAATTATTTAGCTTCCATACTCTTGAAATAGCCTTTGATTTCTGAAGAGATTTTTAAATTCTTTACAGATTGTCATACCTCTTTTTTTCTCCAAATTTTAAGTTTAGTGGGAACTTTTGTTAAGACTTAAGTTCATCCACATGCCAGTAGCAGAAAAGAACCACCACAGAAGAGTGATGTATGCTGTTGCTGTAATCAAGAATCTCTTCATGCTATTGATGCAGCCAAAATTTTGAAAACTAATCTCTTGCCAATTTCTGGTTTGTTCTGAAATAGTTATCTTCATCTGCTGAACTCAGATATCTGTACTTCGAGGCACTGTACCTTAGTATAGTGCAAGTTCATGGGATTTGTCCAAGCAGCAGAAGTATAAATTATATTTGTATATTTACTGTTTATAGTCTGGAATTTAATTAAGTCACAGAGTTTACAGACTGAAACCAAGCTATCAAAAAGTCAGTAACACAGAGTAACCAATGAGATTTCAATGTGTTCAGCAGTTAAATCTAACTGTCCTTCACCTGGAGCTCTTCAGTCTGAAGAGACAAACATACTAAATTTTTATAAGGCCAGAAGTAATTAGAAAGTAAGTACAAAGTGTGTCCAAGGATGATTGTGCTGCTTTGTAACTTAAAAGCTTTTTAAAGCTTTCTGGTAAGCTACAAACAGTCCCTTCAAATTTATTAAATGAAAACAGAGCTTTTTTTATAGTCCTGTCAGTATTCGGCAAAAGTATTCAAACAATAAAAGGCTACGATGTTGCCTAAAAAGTTTTCCTTACTATAAACTTCAAATTCTTTGAAAAGTCAGCGATACCAAATTCATATGTGCATGTTTTACCACATTAGATGTCAGACAGTTTAGCCACATTCATACTAAGTCTCCTAGAACACACAGCCTGAGGCCTAGCCGCTATTGTTATACAAAAAGTGGGGAAGAAATATTTTTTTTAAATGTATGTTAATTACAGGTTAATTTTCCCAGTCTGTGCAAGGCAAACTCTCCTCTTCATCCTCTGATTCAGGTGATGCTTCCTTAATTCGTCGCAATGCTTCATGGATGCTCCTTGTCAGAGGGTCAGTATCAGGCAGAATTGTAAAGGATTCTCTCAAAACATCCTTCTGCACTTTCTTCAGTTTCACCCCTTTCCTGATCTGTGCCAAGATGTTATTGCTATCATCTTCATCAGGAAAAGGAGGGAGACTTCTCTGCTCAACTTTTCTTAAATGAAAGCTGCCACGTTTCAAGGAAGCCAGCACTTCATCCATCGGGGAACTCACTGCAGTAAATCAAAAGACCTTCAGTATTATTTTTACTACATTTTACTAGTCTTCACTTACACTTCCAACAGACCAAAAAGTAGCCACATTAATGTGATAGTCCCATACCATAAGTATATTGGTAGCTCCAATATTGTTTTAGCCTCCAAATTTGTCTTTCCTATTACCAGGTCAAAACTGGTTTATACAAATAATTGTAATTTCTAAAACTACTTAACCTCCTATCAGGCAGTAAAACTTTTTGAACAAGATGGCTTTCCTGTTTGCAGTCAGGAAAATCAAATAGCTGCAATGAATCCAATACAATGGAAGTGTTTATTACATTATTTTGCTTGTCTTTGAAGCTCTGGCAATGAGTACTTACCTTAAGTATCGGACTGTGCAGTCCATTCTCAGCACTTTCATTTTGTGGCTGACCTTACCTACCATATGACTATTACTACATGCCAGTGAGAGAAGCAGCAGTATAGTCAGCAGCATGCATTTTCCTGCTTCTCTGGACTCATGTGTGTATTAGCACCTAGCCACAGCGTGCCTATATAAATTCCCTTCCTTTATAATTACTGAAAACAGAAGTAAGAGTTAATACTTTATCGCAAATCCTTCCTTTATCACCAATTCGAAACTAGTTGTCTGCAGAAATAAAATCAGGCTTTGGCTCTTTGAAGAGCCACAAGTAGGTAAGATCTCAATCCTGAGAATGCATTACAATGAAGTACAATAGTCTGAAATAGCTGCTCACATACACTAGCACATACAATGTGCAGCACATACGAATCAACACATAAATATCCATCTCTAGCTCTTTTTGTGTATTGTAGAATACTTGTTTTAAACCTGTTTTGCATTTATGAGTGGGCTTTGTCCACCAGACTAATGGCCCAGACAGTTGGGATATATACAAGGAAAAGAGAGAAATAAAAGAAGAATCCAGGACTGCACATTTGAAGGAGGAAGGAAGGACTATAAAACACTCATCTGTCACACAGAGACAAATTTCTGAAGCCACTTAAGGGACTTGGAAAATCTTAGGGAATACAGAGCAGAGGTAGAGTGCTGCTGCAGGCATTAGCAATACTTTTAAAAAGGAGGGCATAATTTGATTCCATATTTGTCATTTTATGATGTACAACAAATTGCACACATGATGAGTACTTTATATAAAACTGCAAGATAAAATGGGTATCAGAAAAATAAGCAAGAGGACTACAGAAAAAGAAAAATGGAGCACAGCAGCAGCAAAATTGATAATGAACTTAAGATGCTGCACCTGTGACCTGCAAGATTCTTAAGAGCTTAACTGTGCACTCGCCTCAAGGGTTTTCTGTCATTTAAGGACAACTCTAGAGAAAACACTCGTGCTTGTCTGATCAATGAAGACAGTTCTAATTTTGATTTTACATGGCTGAGGGAAAAATGTCGGTGGAGGGATGTTTTCTGCAGTTGTAATTGACAGAGCCAGACAGAATTTGTAATAAGATATTATTACAGCATATTACAGCAGTGTGAATCAAGGCCCACTGAAAGTACTGAAAGTACTTTTTCTCGGTGACTTCAGTTCAGCTGAGTGCTTTTGAAAATCCCATCTCTTATTTTCAAATAAAAACTTTAGTCCAACATAGCATGTTTCACGGAAACACGACAATTATTTTGTTTAAACATGGCTGCCATACTCCCCATTCTATATAGGGGATAAACAGGTAAAACCAAGTTACACAGAATCAACAAGTTGTAACAGATCTCCCAACTCAGCCCTGTGCTCTATTCATTCTCCTCAGTTTCCAAAGAAGTTCATGATTTTTTAACTATTTATTAACGTGCTTTGCTGAATGATTACAGATTTAATTTCCAATTGCAGTTAAACAAATGTATTCTTTACTCAGCTCTCAAGGGTACTTGAGGGTTTGTGGATTTTTGTATGAAAATTTGAAGAAAACTTGAAGGAAACATTCTCAAGGTTTCCAGTGTAAAAAGACTATTATTCATTTTACTAGGTCATAAATTATGTAAAATTATGTTATTAAAATACTGCACCCTCGGGTGAAGCACATAATATTTGTAGTGCTGCCTGTAAACTAGATAGGAAAAGATTCTTTTACTCAACATTCAGCTCCATTTTCTAGCTAGTCTAATGTGGTATATCGTAGAGTCAGTTTCACAAGTGTTTTCCATCTAACTGAACAAGCATATCGCACACCATCCTAAAGGTCCCAACATTTGTTTCAGTTGCCAAAACTTGTCAACTGAAAAAGATTTAACAACTTTCCCATTAATAATTATAAATGTATCACAGCATACACATTTTTATAGAGCAAAAAAGAAGAGGAACTGATGTGCATCACAATTAAATACACAGAAATTAAAACATTACCTCTCCTCCTCTGTAAACCCTCTAGATCACCAGTCTTCTTAAGCTTCTTCTTGGCACTGACTAGCTGACTGCTGTCAAACAGATATGCTGGTGGGACACCAGAAGAGTGCTGGACTCCCTTCTCCTCACTCTGACGTTTAACAAAGCTGTCACTTTTCTCTAAGGATTTGGTGGCATCTTCCTTGGAGGGTAAAGGTGGAGGTGGAGGTGGTGGAGGCAAAGGGGGTGGAAGTGGTACTACAGTAACAGTCTCTGGTTGAAGCTCGTTACCGGTAAGCGGAGAAGCACTAACATGAGGCAGTTCAGAGGTAACACCATTGGGAGGTAACAAGATATCCTGAAGTTGTTCTAAGCTTGTGGATTCTTGCACTTGCAAAGGCTGAACTGCATTTTCCAATTCCACCTCTTCACTTTTCTCTTGGATTTGTATGGTTGCTGGCAAAGATTGAGGCTGATTGACACAGGACAGTGAGCTGGCTGCACATTTTCTTCTTGCATGAGCCAGACGTAGTCTGGTGGATTTAAGTATTACTTGCCCAGGGTACCGCTAAAGTGAATAAGTTATTTACAATTAGACAAGTACATGCAATGCGCTATTCTAGATTCTAAGTATCTGTCGTTAGGGTTTGCCTTAGACAAGTAGAATTCACCTGCTATTTTCATTCATTTTGTTCTGGATGTAAAAACAAAGCAAATATATCCTCACCTTTATGCAAAAAACAATCCGTTTTCTTAATTTTTATTCTTGGTTAAGCCACAATTTACATGCAATTGGTCTAATCAGGGACATACAAGAATTAGGATTTTACTAAGAACCAGACTGTACATTCAAAACTCTTTTGTCTGGAAGCTAAAATTCAAAATTCCCTCTTGCTTTCCTAATCTAAACTGGCTGATGGCTCCCTCTGCAACAAAGTCCTCTCTGACCTAATACGCTGGCCTTAGATGTTAATCACACTGATGAAAAGTGTCTTGTCCCAAGGTGTAGATGTAGGAGTGAACAGAAGCTTATCATGGCACTGCGAATGCAAAGGCCAGAGGAATTCATTATCAGCAATGCCATATTTTGTTATACATTTTCCAAAGAACAGTTAACTGCACAATGAAAGAGAATAGCTAATAGCATAGTATAGTCATAGAATAAGTGAAAATTTCTTTTGCAAAATAAATTAGTGGAAAGGAACAACTCTTCTTCTGTTACCTGTTTAAATGTGCGAAGTCTGTCCAGTGTTTTCTGTCGTTCCTGACTAACCCAGGAGCTCTTTCTTTCCTCTTCATCTTGTAATTGATCTCGCTTCTGAGGAAATATGGAAAACATGTAAATATTAAATCCAATGCTATGTTTAGCATAATTTTAAAAACTGAATTAGAATAACTCTTCTACTAATTGTTAAGAATTACCTAACAATCTGCTTCTCAAATAAACACTTCTGAACTTCAAAAATGGCCTTTGTCTTCCCCTTAAAAACCATGCATGTCATGTTTTATAAGCTTGAAGAAATGCAAAGGTCAGTAAAGAAAGATTTCAATCAGAATTGGAATTATTACCTTGAAAGATGAAAAATAACTAGAGACATGACAGAACATTATACTGAAAAAAGCCCCCTTAAATGAAAACCAGTATAAATTAGCCAGACAGCAAACCAGTATCCATTTTCTCTCATTCCCAGAACAAAATGACAGTCCAGATTGCAGGGTTGCCCATTTAAAACAAGTCATATTAGTATTTTCAGAGTGCAAGAAATCACAGAACACAGTGCCACAAAGGTTTTAATCCAATATTAAGCAAATGAAGCAAACATTTTCATTATCATTTACAATAGTAAATGGAAGTTTGTATTTAGTTAACTTAAACTGTCATGATTTAATCCAGCTTCGTTTTCTGCACTCTTACTTCAATAAAGGTTTGATGCTCTTCCTTGCAGCTAAGACAGTTGTATTTTCTTCTTGTTGGGGGATCTTACCTCAGTGAAAACCACATTTAGATCCACCTCCTTTAACTAGTCATCCGTTTTCACAAAACTTTGGGAAAGTTACTACGTCTTTGAAACAAACCACTACTCTTCACTCAAATTTATTGAAAATGGATGCTAGTTATCAGGTGACATAAGTCATTATATGCAGGTTCAGGAGCTATCCAGAATAGCTGTAATAGAACCAGTGACTATAAAGAAAAAAACAACCTCAGCAGAAACTGCAGCTTTAATTCTTAAATGACTCACAGCATTTAGTATTGCTTTTAAAAGCTCATCTTCATCATCATAATTAAAAAGTTCACTTTTGTGAACTTCTATTGTCATTCAGGCAACACAAAAGCAGTGCCTGCCTGCCATTTTCAGAATTCAGCTAGTGGCCTGGTGTCCTTCAAAAAGAGCCAACTCCCGTGATTTGAAAGGAAGTAAGTATAGATGCATTAGCGAAAGGAAAAGGAGAACATGTCTGAAAAATAGTAAGGACAGGAAATAGGAAAAGGTGAAGAGGAATAGAAGCATGTGGTAAAAAGAAAGTAACAGAGCAATGAAGCAAAGAAGTTAAAACAGAAGCATAAAGAAAAGATTATAGCAAGAGGAAAGGATAGTTCTACCACCACACCTGCATGTTACATATGCAATCAGATCAAAATTTTGCTGAAGCAGTCTCAAACTCAAGAGGTTTTTGTTTTGTTTTTAAATAAGAATAGTGAAATTGCAATTCTTATTTGGTTTCAGGTTTGGACACTCTTGAGGTTATCTTTTCAAAACTCTTCATGAAACTAGTGGCAGAAATCCTATTTTACAATAACAGTAGAATTTTTCAGTCACGTTATTAACAGAATAAAAGACCAAAAACATTAGCATAATGTTCTTTATATAATGCAAGCATGCAACTCCATGAAATAAATAATGAAAAAGCCCTGTAGAGTTTGAGACAAAGTCCTTCAGCTTTGTTAAGTCTTATTTTGAGAGTGATAAATAGACTACAATTCACACAGCAAATTCCTTCTCCTTATTGTAAGAACTAAAAAAAAAAAAATTAAAATTTTTCTAAGTTCCTGGAAAAGTATGTCAATACATACTGTCTTTCACAAGTAGCCTTTTCATAAAATAAATTATGCAGCTGACTTCCTGGACAAATGTATCAATGTTAAAAATGTATAAGGATGAAATAGAATCACTTTCACTAATCTAATTGAAGCCTGAATTAAAGAGACTTGGATTTCAATGCATCTTTGTCAGTGATCTTTATTAAATATTGATACTATATCAGCTCCCAAGACCTACGCCAGAATTTGAATATTCTTTAAGATAAAGTCTACTATGTTCAGCACAAGAGTTAGACTAGCTAGCCTATTCCCTGTGATGAGACTGTGCAGAGGACTGTGGAGCATATAGCTGGAACTACATCTTTATATCTCACAATTCAAGTGACTTCTTTTGTAGAAAGAAGAAAAATAATGAACGAGCTTATTAAAATTCAAGAACAAACGCATAAGGCTTCCTTATTCATCTCAGCATATCTCATGCTGTACTTGGAGATGTGTAGCATCATCTATGGGCACATGATAACAAACTGCATGCAGCCTAACCCTAGCAGTAATCACTTAGGATGTGAATCCAGCATTAAAGAACTGTTTTATTTGCTTGGGTTCAATGTCATCCTAACACAGTTATATATTCCCCCTTACCAGCATAATATGATACAGGAATCCACCACTCTTTTCAAACAGCTATCACTCTGACTATTCTCCTAATTAATATATAATGAGGAATGCAAGCTATTAACTAAAGGCTAAACTCTACAGCAGAAAACTCAAAACTTACTAGCTGAACAGTATGGTGCATTTTGTATTCCTCCTCACTCTGGTGACGCTGCTGGATCTTTTCATTATGCTTTGCAATACAGATCTCCTGTGGAGACACAGAATGTTATCTATATGAATTTCAAATATCGATTTACAGGGTATAATGTCATATTTAGCAAATAGAACTAAATATTAGAAAATAAAAATTATAAAGCCTATCTCAGACAAGCTAACTTAACCAAGCTAATTCAACTTACAATAAAAACATAAAATGGAAACAAAACCAAGACAGACAAACCCAAACCTATTATTTTTAACTGTCAAAAGAATATACACAAGTAACAGCTGCTTGAAAACTGTTCTACAACATCAGTACAAAAGTGGCAACAAACACTGATTTGTCAAATATTTCATAAAACCCTTGTATAACTTCATGTATTTGTATACATGGATAGTAACTCAATAGAACTCAAATACATTTCATATTTCTGTTTACGCAACTAGACAGCTTCCCATTTACAAGTGTCAGTTCATCTGCATGTACAAACTGCAAGCACAAACAGTAATAAGGTTGTTACAATTTTATGCATGCACAAACCGGCTCACTTATTATATCAAGTTCACATCTGTAACATCTGGTTTAAAAATCAAGCATTTATTACATTGCCTGCACACAAGAACAGGCTGGGAAAAAAAAACAAAACAGGCCACGTTACAATAGATGACACTTAAACTTCAGGTAGGTAATATAAAAAGAACTGAAGTATAAGGCATGTGCAGGATCTTAGAGTAGTGACAGGACAGACAAGTTCACAGGACAATACTGAGGGCCAGGAAATCAGACAGTAAGGGCAATGAAATTAAGCCTGCTATAAGCACCACTCGGAACAAGAACAAAGTCAGATGTGTAGTTAAAAACACATCTCACGGCTGCGTAAGACGGGGCAGTGTTAGGAAGCAGTGTGGAGCATGACTGCAGCTAGAACACTGAAGCAATGGGGTTCCTTGGCATCAGTCAGCTTGACTTACCGGGTGGAGCCAGACAGGAGCTTTGCCATTGAAAACATTGCTTGGGGCAGCTGACAGAGTTATCAGCCATCAAGCAAGATACTACAGTAGTGGCAGAAAGACACAAAAACAAGGAGGGGAGGGATAAAAAAGCACACAATTTTGGACACTTGGAAACACAGAAAGAACTACATTCTCCCACAAGCTGACTATGGACATACTGTGATCACCTTAAAAGGTAGCCAGCATTCCTGTATAGGACAGAAATACCATGCTGTCTTGAATGTTTCTAAACAGTAAGACCATCAGTGTTGCTACCGTATACAGGCAACCGACAAGAGCCTAAGAGTATAAGTGTCTGTGGAAATACTGTCCCAACTTCATCAGAGATGGGGGGTATGTGTGTAGCTGGAAAAGCTAATCCATTTAATTTGTGACCATAGAAGGACAACCTATCTCATTTCTGCATTTCAAAGACACAGCAATAGCTTTAGAATTATTATTAGAGAACCAGAAAGACTTTTTTGTAACACTACCACTGATTTAACTTCATAGCTTATTCTCTATTTCTGTGTTAAGTTCGATTAAAAGTCTTCTGAAATAATGAGGAATGTATGTTACAAGATATAAAAAAATACTATAAAGTAATGAGGAAACATACACTAGGTTTGCTTTGGGTTTCTTGACATGTCTCAAATACCTGGGGGCACACTTTTATGAAACATTATCTCTTCAGCATCAGTATTTAAGTCTTTCTGATTAAGAGCAATAATGAAAGATATTTTAAGCATTAAAGAGGATAAACCAGACCAAAACATATTTGGTGCTGACTTTGTACTGATAAACAGCCTACTTTAATGTAATTTGTTCTATGACTTGAAATCATAAAAAAAGATTAGGAAAGGCTGAAAACATGTTGCAGCACAGGATTAGAAATTCGAATCATCTTAACTAATTACAGAATGGTCTAAAAAAAACCAAACCAAAGCAAAAAATGTTGCAATTTCATAGGGACAAATGCAGGGTTGTACTTGTAGACAAGATTAAGTGACTGCAAACAAAGCATAAAGAAAAAAAAACAGCCAGGTGGCAGCATTAAAGAAAATTATCTGGATGATTATGGCAGATTACGAATTGAACACAAACCAACAAACTCTGGCAAAAAAAGAAAACATCATAATTGGGTGTACGAGCAGGAATACGGCCTGCTGCACATATGAAGTAGTCCTTCCTTCTCAGCACTGGGAAAGCAGGAGCATTTCGTCCAGTGTGAGCCACACAACAGAGAGCATCAAGAAGTAACATTCATTTATCTTTTAATCACCTGACTGATTTCACAGTATCAAATTGTACTTCTATTAAAGAGACAAAAAGAGAGAGCTGAGAACCATTTCAGCCCTCGCCCCTGGATAAGCTACCATGTTTAAGACTAGTAATATCTAACATATGTGAGAGATATCTGCATTAGTATTATATTTATTTAACTAGTTCCAGTGATCCTTGCTTTCAGACTGAAAAGCATCCCAATTAAAAGGTTAGCTTCTCATTTAGTAAGCTCAGTACATGCAGAAACCGTGTTTTACTACAAGCATTCTGTGCAGTTACGCCCTTATGTTGTAATAGTCGTAGTAATAATAATAATAATAATAATAATAATAATATGTAAGCATACCATGTAACCCTACACCAGTTGTCACTGCATCTACATAACACCTGTTTTGGCACAGGCTGTGCTTTAAACTGTAGGCTTGCAAAGTAGTAAAGGTGTCCTATTAAATGGACACAGTAGCATGTGAGGAAGCTTCCTAGATCAAAGCACATACTATGAACATACCGCAAATAGCCTCACCAACCAGTTGCTTCTCCCAGTCTGCTCATAAGAAATACTCTTCCTGGATGTAAAATAATTCAGTTTCTTCACAACTCTTTTTCCAAAGATATCTTTCTAGATGCCTTCTACATCATCTTTTTTACCTTTACTCTTTACTATAAATCTAGCTCCCTAATAAAAAAGCTGCCTGTTTCATATGATAACCTAATTAATACTACCGTGCAGCCAGTAGGGGGTAGATTGGGATAACAATAGAGATATCCTGCACGAAAAATCTGTAATTAGCTTTCAAGAAATAAGAAAAACAGTGAGAACACTATTAAAATCTTACTTTTGAGTAACTAACTCACTGTCACCAACACAAAGGAACATCAGGAAATGACTGCTTAACAAATGCAAATAGGTTCATACAAAAATACATGAGAATAAAGAGTTTATACTCATGGCAGTATAGCAAAAGAACATCAACCTCTATAAACCATAAATTTAAAAAATGCTGGCTCAGTTATTCAGAATCAAAACTGAATGAGGTTTCTAACAAACCTTTACCAAAAGTTTCTAAATAAAGGTTTGATACAATTATTTGACATCATTAAAAAATAAAAGCAACAACTGCAAAAACAGGGAAGGAATTTCTGAAAAACAAAAGTAATAGAGACTATAGTCACAGAAGTTTATATTTGTATTACATATAAACTTATTCTACACAGAATAACCGATTCCTTTTCACTGCATTGTTTCTCAACAGAAAAAATTTTCAAATACCCAGATGATGAAATTATCTCCTCCAAAAAATAAAAACTGGTGATATGAGAATCATTTCCTATTGTTTTCTTAATCATGATAGCTGCTCCCAGAAAGGAGGCATTCTCCTAAGGGAATCTTCAGTTGCCAAAAAGCTAATAATGAGGAAGGACTGTAATTTCTAAGTGTATCACAAGACTGTGATATACACCACTTAATGCACAGCTTCCTTTTGGTTTTGGTGGGGTTTTTTGTTTTGTTTTTTTTTGGTTTTTTTCCAAGTACAGGACTGAAAGGGTAAAAAAAAAATAGGAGAAGAAAAAACCCACCAAAATCCCATCAACCCAATCCAAAACAGAACATTTGTTTACTAATATGTTTTAAGATACTTTGCCAAAACAAGCATGATTAGGAACATAATCTGAAGAGCATTAAGTAGACTCTAATATCAGCTCATAAGTGTTTCTTAATTGAGACAGACAGACTTTGAGAAAGTTTTACCACATCGTATGTACTCTCCAGATGTACCCTCAGAAACTCATTCTTTTCTCCACTTAGCATTCAGTCATCACTGAGCTCACTCTCACCATCTAGAGCCTGCTTCTGCGTCCCATCTGTATCTTTGTTCTGCGTGCTTAACCTAAACTGCAAACTCTTCAGAGCAAGAACCCTCTTTCCCACCAGTTTCGTAAAGTACAACTACCCACATCAGGCACTATAAACAGCATTCATTAACAGTATTTTGCAATATCACTAGAATGGTCACTCAAGATACTAAGCTTGTTTATGTTTGAATCAAAGACAGAAAAGTCTTGATTTTCAGGTAATTACTAGTAAGCTTAGTAGGGGTCTGCGTTACTCAGCAGTAATGAGAGCAGCAACAGTAAACACTTCTAACAAATATTCATCAAAATGGCTATATTCTTTCCTGACCAACTAGTGCCGCAAAATGGCACACAACAGATTCTGCCTATTCTTTTTGCTCAAATAAAAGTCTTTGATGTCCCCCTGCAAGTTTAAATACAAGTTATTCTAATCTGTGAATTTTTAGGAGCTGAAAGCTAAGTACCTCGCTGCAGCACTCAACTGCAGATAACGCTATGCTTGACAATGAAATCAGAAGAGAGCTGGAACTAGTTCTGAGAGCACATGTGATGTCCAGCAATGAAGTTTCACATGGAGGAATTACCTCAGCTCCTGAAAGCAGAATAGCCACATTCTTCTAGCGCAACGTTGAGCAGACGTGACTATATTACTCCTGCATGAAGACTCAGACGAGCAATTACTACCATATATAACTCTGCATCACATTTCAGTGAATTAGTTTATTCCTCTTAAACCAGGTATTTTATCATAGTACAACCTTGAAACAAATCAGCCAATTAAAGGTGACTAGTTCATTATACAGATAAGAAGGCATACTAAAAACTCTCTACTCCTGCTTCAGGGTTCCTTCTTGACTTGTTAACTCTTGTAAGTACGGAACAGTAACTAGGCTATCACTTTTAAACAGGTTTGTCTACTCTGCAAGATGCCAGCAGTGTCTTTTCAAGTTCAGGAGAAAATAGCATAACTATTACAATATAGCCTATGCTAATTAGCATAACATGACAGATAGGATGTATTCCTTAAACTAGTAAAAAGCCCAGCTTCTGGACACTTATTCTTTTTACAAACTCACAAAAAAACAAACTCAATGACTGCAAGCAAACTACTTCCCATAACAGGCTAACAAGAGGCATTTCTTTTATAATAATTTATTTGCAGTCTTCTCCATATTGTGTTAATCAGAGACAGGACAGTGACTGAAAAAAAACAATATTCTGCACAACATCCCAATCATGTAATGCATGAAAAAGGAAAGTGGCCCTGAACAGCACACCTAATCTTACAAATTAATATTATATACTGGATTTCATATACATCTGCTGAATACAGAATATCACTGACACATGATATAAGTCTAAAAGGATGAGGTAAGAGAATGAAAATAAAACTCATTAGTGAGAAAACACCCTTGAAAGTTATCTTCAGCCAATATATATAAAAATACTCTCTGTAAAAACATGCATTCTAGCATGTACTTTCCACATGAAAGTATCCTGATTTGTTAACAGAAACAAGTTTATTTGTTGAGTTCAAAGTAATTAAAGGTTCCTTTAAAGCTAAAAGGTAAACTGAATCTTAAATATATCAATTTAATAATACATGCTATTATATTTGGTACTCTGTAAAACAACTTTTGGTAAATAGTAAATATAATCCATGAAAATTCTGGGAGACTTGGAAGTTCATCTGAAATGAAACCTTTTGAAGTTTTATTAAATTTGCTAATTATGCTAGAAATTTGCAATTTAATAATACCTTCTTATTTCTGAGGTAGGCTTTCTTGGCTGAAATACGTCCACGTCTTGCTTCCAGCTGGCGGATTTTTTGTTGTAACTTTTGCAGCTCCTCTTTTTGCAAGTGTATAGATGTTGCTGCATCCTCTTTTTCAAGCATGGCTTCCATACTTTCGTAAGTGTCATAATATACCACTTCATCTCTCTTCTCTGTTTTAAAAATGTCAGCAATGAAAAAGTCAAACCAGTAGCTTGTATTTGATTAACAAAACAAAAACAACCCTCCCAGTGAGTTGCAAGATTTAATCTAGAAGAATGGTATCGTCCTTTCAGAAGGCTATCAAAAATCAAGAGGTCAGAGGAAAAGCAAAGCACTGTAGGGCTTTAAAGTTTATATGAAGAACAGAAATCAACATCAACGAAGCACGGTCTGGTATGCAGGTAAGCTCAGAGCTTTAAAAAACAAATGCAACTGTAACTATACACTTGTTTCTGTATCCTAACTTGACCACAATGTCCATGCATCTCTTTGGGTCTCTTACATACAAGGGACCCACGATGTGCAGTAATATCCTCTGGTCTTTACTAACAAAGTTCATGATGTACAGACTCTTTCTGAAGTTTTTGGCATGGGATTCTTCTGCCACAACTGACTATTAATTTCATGAAAGGAGAATCAGACAAAACAACAGCAAAAATCCTCTCTTAGGAGGTTTTTGACCCCCCAGTCACTGCCTCTGCTCAGAGGCAGCAGAGGGAGGGTAATTTCAAGGCGATCCTTCAGAGTATTACAGGCCTGAAGAGGAGGTCATTACTCATAGTTTCATCAACAGTCATGATTTTTAGCCTCCCGAGCAAAGCATTCAGTGTAACATTAAGCTCATCTCTGAATGCTGCCTTCTCATCTCTCACCAAGAAGGAAGGAGCAATGATTATAAATCCTTGCAGAATGTTGGGATGAAGAAGCAGCAAAGGCCTCTTGTCCCTTATTTCACTGGCACAACAAGCAGGGCATTTTTTGTAATACACAAAGAAGGATCTGCATCACTGCTGGTTAAAACTGGTTGGCACGATGGTCAACTGTCTACTCTGCAGCACCACCAAACCTTTTCATTTCAACTACATCAACTACTTCCAGCAAGACCGTAACTTCCTCCTACTTCTGCTACTAGATTATTTGGGGAGAGGGGCAGGGTTTTTCTTCAGCACACTGTCCATTTTAAAACCTGCTGCCACTTCATGTTATTTGCATGTATAGACTCTGATTACCATGCTAACTTCAGCTCAGCAGAATATGTGGTAGGACCAGAAAAGAAAGCACACCACTGTATTAACTTTACTAATAATAACAGAGCTACTAGACTATTTATATCAGCGCTTAGTTAAAAGAAATAAAAACAAAAAAAAACCCCACCAACATAAATTTCATCCATAAATAAAACTGACAAGTCACTAGAACACACTCTGAGACACCAGTGGATAAAAATAAGACTCATGGCTAACAACAATTATATTTTGCCATGGACTTATAAAATGGGAGAATTTGCATGCAAATTTTGTTTTAGAATAATTTCATACAGACTTAAAGACAGTAATTTAATATAGAATACAGATACAGAATGTTAGGGGTTGGAAGGCACATCAAAAGATCATCTAGTCCAACCCCCCTGCCAGAGCAGGACCACCTAGAGTAGATCACACAGGAACGCGTCCAGGCGGGTTTTGAATGTCTCCAGAGAAGGAGACTCCACAGCCTCTCTGGGCAGCCTGTTCCAGTGCACAAGTGCATCCACCACAAAACCACCTTACGAAGATCTGTGAATAGTTTGTATGGACAGGATAAAACCCATTAAAATTCCAACCTATAAATGCACATTTTGTGAATTTTAGTGCAGGTATTTACACAACGAAAGTAAAAAAAAAAAATACTACTGTTGTTTATAATATGACAATCTATTATCATTTGATACTTTTCAGATCCAATGTGCCGAATTTGCAAAAGAAAATGTTTTTCTTCTAGCTTACAACCAACTGGCAGTCAAGTCAAATCATGCTCTCAAAAAATTATTTTGGGACTTCATTATAGCAGTACTTATGATGTCCCTCAAATCAAAACTGAATCCAAAACTCTCTGAAATACCTCTGCAGAGCCAATACAGTCAAAGAGTAAAGAATAGCAACAGCCTCTACAAGTCGCTAAGACACGACACACGTATTTGAAATCATACAGATGTGCACAATTAAAAGGCTATTATTTTTACTGACTATAAGTATACTTTAAAAGTGAAGCGTAATAGGAGATGCAACAGACCATTCTTTTCTCTTTGACAGCATAGGAAACAACACATATTAAAAGACCACTATATATTCTAGCTGCTCTTATTCAGATTTGGTGCTGAAGAGTCTTGAAGAGATGTAGCCACTTCAGTGTCACATTCTTCGTATTACTCTTTCTACCTCCTCCACTTAAGTAAAGTCTGAAGAGGTAATTTCATTCTTTGAACAAAATTCCTACACATTTAAGAACTTTATTTTTCATTTTCTGTCCTATGGGTTATAAACTGAGTCTTGTTAAAAAACACTAATTCCTTCTAACATAGACAGCTGCCTTTAATAGAAAAAACCCACAACTTTTGGATTTATTATTAAAGAATACTTTACAAATTTAGAACAGCAAAGGAAGCCAGAACAATGAATTGTTTCATTGCCATGGGGGAAGGAGAGGGCTAGTTTTTTAGCTGACTGGTTTTGTTTTATTTTGGGTCAGGTTGTAGGGTTGGGGTTTGGGTTTTTTTGAGATTCCTGGAGAAAGCATTAGTGAGAAGTTGTAATGACCTATGATGTTTTTATAGCATAAATCTCTGAGGGCCCTTTGGTTTTACTATGACTACATCAAAGAGAAAGGATTTTGATACACATTCCTTCTCAGCCTCCTGTTCAAGTGATTTCCTTCAGTCCACAGGTAAGCAAACCATACCATGCCTTCAGTACTAAAATTAAATGTCTGATTTTCCAAGTACAAAACCTATCAATCTCTAAAGCACTAACTAGCTCTCCACAGAGGCACCTGGTCAAAGCTGCCACATTTCTTTAAGTCACTTATAGAGTTTTCAATCCTCATCTTCCATACATGCAGTTACAGCTGTTGCAATCACAAGTCTAAAGGTAGGAGATTCATGTAACAGTGAGAACAATCCATGATCCCCATGTTTTCTGTTTTTCCAGAGGCAACTCTCAATACATTCCAACTTCAAATCTCTTCTAAGTGACTTTTCTGTCCGTAACAAAATTTGCTATGCAAGCCCTATGTACTAAACAGTAAAACAGAGTTTGTGCAAATAAAAACATCACCTACAGAAAGGTCCAAAGGCCAGAACTGGATTCAAAACCACTGTATGGTGTACCTGTCCGTTTCCATAGTCTGTGAGTACACAAGGTATAGTAGGTTCTGGAAACGTAAGGTTTGCATCACTGCTCTAGATCAGTGAGATGGCAATACAACAAGCTTCAAAGTTTAGCTGAAGGACTCTGATTTGCAGGAATACCTTTTGAAAACAAATCACTTCAAATAAATGAATAGTACCAATGCAAATTTTTAATAAGACAAGTTCAGTAATTCAGACATTTCCTCCCCCGAATTTAGTTTTCCAAGACTTTACATAGTACCTTCTATGCTTATTGGCAATGAGAACCAGATCAAAACTTCTGTATGTATATGCCTTATCAACAGGTATAAATTTTAATTTAACAGTACTTATGTTAGAAGATCCAGCTCTTCGCATGGTAAAGAATCTGTTCTCATTTCATTCCCACAGGCTTTACTGGACGCTTAGGAAGAGAACTATCTTGTACAGATTACATCTTAATTAAAATGCATAAAGCACCTGACATCAGTCTTCTGATGCTTTCAAGTTGTGCTGTCAGCAGCAGCTCTTCACATTTCAAAATCTCAAACTGCACTTCATATAATTGAAGCTGTAGATCATAGTAATCAGCTTCCAACTGGTCCAAATGGGCTATGGCCTCTGTACCACCTTTCAGGCTCTGCATCTAAATGAAAAAAGAAGAAAAAAAAAGCACCACATGACTCTGGGATACCAAGCAGAACAGAACACAGATACATAATAAAATATTTTCTTATCTTCAGTCCAAAAAGTCTAAAAGTTGTTTTGCTGATAGCATCTAAAAAACTACAGTTAAAACTATCACTAAGAGGAAATTGAGGAAAAAAGTGAAAGCTAGTGGAAACAGGGATAATTACATACACTGATCCTCTTGTAATGACAACTTAACTGAGGAGTTTCATCATTTCTGGAGTCCTTCACAGGAAAATAAAAGATCTAGATCAAAATATGTATACATCATTAGCACTTATTTGTGTCATATATTTGAAATCGAAAATGTGACACAAGACAAAATTGAAATGAACTCATATCACCCTCTTTCATTCAGCCAAGCAAGATTTAATCGCTCAATACAGTTAGCCATTCAGACCATATTTAAGAAATTCCGACATGTAAGGGGATCTTACATGCTGTCACACTTTTGAAGGAATTCAAAACCATGCAGCTCTACAACCTGCATGCAGAAGAGTTAGGGCTACATCCAAGTTCTCTACCTGCTCAAGAAATGTATCACTGATGATTTCTCTCAGATAATGGATTAAAGTAATTGTAAATTTTACCAAATATTTGTGATCTACGTGCACTACCATTCTGATGAAATGTTGTCCAGTTTCTGTATTACAGACATTCAATCACTAAAACCAAATGTCTAACAAGCAAAAATACAGGACCTAAAAACTATAAATTTCAAAAAGTATTTACTAGTATGTTTTTACATTATGGCGGTTTCTTCAAGGTGTAAAACTGTGTCTGTAATTAATAGCAGAAATGGGTTTCCTTGGTTTTATTTATCACACATTTAAATATAACCATACTAAATCAGAAATGTATCTGTACTGAATTAAACTAAAGACCCATCTTACTAAATATCCTGTTGCTGACAAAGGCTAACTGCAAATATCCAGGAAGATGAAACATAGTAGGCAGTGCAGTGAGACCTCCCTAAAAAGTTTGACCAGCCTCCACCACAGCTTGCACCACAGTGCTGCCTTTCACACAAAATAGACTTCATGGAATTTATTTCATATTTTATCCTATCCCTGTTTTTTTTTAGCATTTATGCTTTTAGCACCTGTATCATCATCCATTGACAGGAATTCCACAGCTCAATGAAACACTAAGGAAACAGTTCTGTATATTATGCTTCTTTCCATATAAGACTCATAGAAGACCTGTGAATCAATTCTTGTAAAGTTTATTTTTAAAATTTCTTTTACTATATTGTATATTTACTGAATGCACTTTTTTGTATATCAGCTACTAGCCTGAAAGGCTCAGTAAGTCCTTAAGTGAACATCATAAATCTTACTAGCAATAATGTAAAATTTATATGTTTCAGTCCAGCGCGACTCCAAAATGTCTTGTTATACCATTCTATTAGTCTGCATCCATATTAAGTTACTAATTGTGACCAGAACAGTAAATGACATGATGATGGCATATTTGGAGTGAATTAGAGGCTAGTTTTCAAGACAAAAGGACTAATTATCTTTAACCTTCCAGTTTTTCCATATAAGAGGAATAATGTTCACTGGTCAGGCAGGGTATATCCTGGGTTTTAGCATTTTCAAAGGATTTTCTCATTGTTAAAAAAAATATAGCATAGCAACAAAATCTGGTGGGTTTTTTTGGGG